ATTACCTAGCCAATGGGAACCCTGGCCAGTGAGCCCTGGGGCTTCCCAAAGGCACCCCATATACCTGTCTGGAGCCTAGATGGGGACAGCATGATATCAAAGCCATGCATACACTGGAAACTTGTCCCTACAGTCCTTCAGGGCAACCCGCAAGAGCAACAGGCTGCATACACTCCAGAGGAGGCTGCTCCAAATAGTTCTTAACTGATTAGACAAGTATTTTTCTAATATTTCCAGGCTATATCTCTTCTCTTCTACATATAGCTTTAGTTGTACAGAGAATTTGAAATAACAGTTGATTTCTGTACACTAAACAGATTTCTTAAAGGAAACACTCCCCTTACTGTTATCCTACTGGAGTTATGTGTTATGTGTAAAATGCAGGAAGCCTCCATAAACTAATGATAACAAAATCGACTTGAATTTATGTTTGTGAAGCAAATTAGTGACTCATTTTCTCAGTGTGTTTTCCCAGGGTGCTGTGGGAAAAGCAAATGTCACCAGCCAGAGGTAAAACCATGAACTGTTTCCCAATGGCTGCATCTCCACTCTCTAGAGATAAATTCAGTGATAGGAATTCTTTATAAGAAGATGTGATGAGTAACCAGGTCCAGCAAATTCTACAGACCTGACTGTGCTGCATTTGAGTCATAGCCTGCACGCTACGGTGCACACATTCCGGATTCCTGTCCTTGACTCATGGCACAATACCCTGCTTTCCTTTGGTTAATTAAAAGCAAATACCTCTTTGCAAGCTCTGTCAGTCGCGCTGGGGGCACGGTGACCTCACTGCACATCATTTTTAATTGAATGACTCCCACTCTGGAGACCTCTGGGTCTTTCACTAATCAGCAATCTACACAGTAAAGGTGAAGTTTAATGAGGTACGTGTCATGTGCTCTGACATGAAGCAGCCCACGTGGGTAAATGTGTTGTTCCATATTTTAACACTGTGACATCCTCATTTTGTGGCTCACATCATGCAGGTTTGTGATAATTCTCGTAAGTGCAGCAATAGCTTCTCTGATATCAAGACAGAGGCTCTGAGTGGCAGGATCAGGGTCTCCTGGAGGGAGAACATAATGATAGTGTCCTTGGCACCACCCTAGATTCACACCAGGAACTGCCAAGTCATGTGGGGAATGGGAGAAGAGGAAATTAGTGTGGCCCTATTTCAGGCAGAGGTTGTGCAATGGAGTTATGAAAGCTGGGGGTTCTGGAGCTGTGGGGGCATCATACAGCAGCATTGCAACCCAGGAAAATGTTTGAGCCTGGTTCTCTTATCAGTAAAGTGGGAATAGCCCAGTGCCTTCTTCATAAGGTCAGCATGGTTGAACGAGTGCGTACATAGTGCCATATAACATTATCTGGGATATGTGGAGGCTTGCAAAATGCTCATGCTTTATATTTATGTGCTTCTGTCGGTTATTTGACAGAATTTGGTGTTCAGAATGAACAAATCTATGTGTTCTTTTGGACACAAGGGTGGATTTATTTTACTTTTCCTCTGAAGACCTTAGTGCATAACTTGGTGTCTAAGCACAGAGAGGCCATGAGTCAGGCTACCTGGCTTCAAATTCCAGCTTACTCTCAAATCCAAGAAGCTACAGCTGGAAGAGGTATAGCTCAAAAACTTAGAGAACTGAACACATCCTCAGTGACTGCCAAGAGGAGCTTGGGAAGCAGGCTTTCTTCCTATGGCAGCCCTGAAGTAAAGACCATGTCCCAGGACTAAGGTACAATCAAAACAGACCCACATTAACCAAGTGGGAATTCAAGTTGACCAGCTAGTAACTTAACTTACTGGTGATCCAGTAGTGAAATTAGCAGATAAGGACCAGAAGGCAATATTAAGTTTAAGGGCTTAAAGGAAAAAATGTTCACAGTGAATGAACAAATGGAGAATGGCAGCAGAGGAATGAAAATCAATTAATAATAAGCAAATGCAAATTCTAGGAGTAAAAAAATTCACAAAATGGAGTCAATAGCAAATTGGAAATGGTAGAAGAAAGGGGAGGTAAACCTGAACAGAGATAAACAGAAATTATACAGTGTGAGAACTAGAGATACCATAACCTCAGTGACTTGTGGGACAGTGTTCAGCAGTCAGTTATGGACATATGCCTTGGAAGGGGAGGACAGAGAGAATGGGGTAAAACCAATATCTGAGGAAATAATGGCTCAAATCCCCCAAATTTGTTTAACACCTATTTATGGATTCAATGAGTTAATAAGCCACAAACAGAATACAACAGACAAACAAACAAGAATGCCCAGGCACATCATAGTCAAACTGATGGAAACCAAAAAGAGAGATAAACATATAACCATTCAGAGAATAATGACACATTACACATAAAGATAAATAATTCAAATGCTTGGTAACTTTTCATCAGAAACAATGAGGTCAGAAACAATAAAATAGTATCTTTAAAGTGTTAAAAGAAGGACATGTCTACCCAGAATTCTGTACCAGACAAACTGTCTTTTAAAAATAGAGACAACGTAAAGACATTTTAAGATAAATGGATGAAAGCTAAGAAAATGTGCTGTCAGTAAACCTGCACATAAAGAAATGCTGAAGGAGCCCTTTGTTTGAAAGGAAATGAAACCAGGTAGACATGCAGATTCACAGAAAGGAAGAGAAAGCACTGAAAAGGTTAACATGTGGATACACGTAAAAAAGCATTCTTCTCTCTTAATTTTTGAAAATGAATAAATGACTGATGTAAAAATACAAGGTTCTATTGTGGTGTTGGCAGCACTCCTAGGTAACATGTGTGACTATTAAAAGGAGAGGGGATAAGAAGTGAATTTTATTGTTGCAAGGTTCTCACATTTGGTGTAAAATGGTACTACACTGACTCTACATGAACTGTGACAAGAATGAACAATGTAACTCTTAGAAACTAAGAAAATCTAAGAAAGCAAACAAGAGGTGTTGCTGAAATGACAATGGGGGAATTTACACAATACTTAAAAAAACTAAATTAACTCAGAAGAAAGCATGAAAAGAGAAAGAGAATAAAAGAAATGAGACACCTGGAAATAAATAGCAGAATGGTATCATGATCATAAGGATGAGTGAGTGCCCCAGGTAAATGGTGTAGACTGCCAGACTGAACGAGAATGAAAACCCAACGGCATGCTGTCCACAAGAAACACACTTTAACTACAAGACACACACTGAAGATGCACCATAGGCCGTAAGCATGAGAAAGCTTACGTGGCTATACTAATATAAATCCAGGTAGACTTCAAGGCAAAGGTCATTTCTAGGGACAAAAAGGGACATTCGGGAAGATGTGCCAATCCCAAATGTGGATAATGGGAATGTATCTCATAGCCATGCTTCAATGTGTAAGAGGCAGTGACATCAGTAAGAAAGTGAAAAGGCAAACCACAGGATGGGAGAAAACATGGCAACACAGATGTCTCACAAAGACTTGTATCCAGACCATGTAAAGAACTCTTTCAAATAAGAAACCCAACAATCCTATGGAAAGGAGGCAAATAATCTGAAAGACACTTCAAGAGGGGCTATACAAGGGCAAATGCTGATTCCATTCTGTAGGGTTCCTTATGACAAGCAGGGGAGGAAAGCAGAGTGGGACGTCCTTGGTTGTTGCAGTCACAGGGACAAAGGAGCTAAGGGGAGAAATTTCCGCTGCTGCACTTGCACGTTTTTGGTGTACAGCATTAGCATGCTAGCAGGAAGGAATCATTCCCATCAGCGTGCCATCCCTGCAAGCAGCTTCCTTCTCACCATCTCCCTGCTTTAGAGCCATTAGAGAGTAGACTCAGCCCAATGTCCAGCTTCAAGTATAGGACAGTGTTTGCAATCACACTGGTTTTTGATAAAGTCAAAGCTGGTGTTCTAGCAACGAAAAGTGAATTAGCCAGCCGAAGAATAACACTGAGGTCTTCAAATCAAATAAAAATGACATCTTACAAAGTATTCTTTTTTCTGTCTGTATTGGGGTTTGAACTCAGGACCTTACTCTTACAAGGCAGGTACTCTACCACTTGAGCCACACCCCTAGTCCTCTTTTGCTTTAGTTATTTTCAGGCAGGGTCTTGCGTTTTTTGCCCAGGGCTGGCCCCAGACTGTGATCTCCGCATAGCTGGGATCATAGGTGTGTACCATCACACCCTGCTTACTGATTGAGATGGAGATCTTACTAGCTTCATGTCTGGGCATGAGCCATCTTGCCCTGGCATTTAAAGTCTTAATGCTAAATACAAACTAGCCTGTGTCAAAGTTCTTTAAAACCCATTGATTTAGGTGATGATAAAACGGATACTAGGCAGGTTAAGAGCTTAGCTAAGATCACAGGGCTGGACAGTGGATCTGATCCTCCAGAACACTGTCTCTGACACTGACAGAGCCTTGTGTATTTACACTCCCATGTGTGTCTTAGCTTCCCACAGGCTCCTTCACACACCTGTGGGAATAGCTGATGCTCAGAGAGTACCCTACCTTGGCACCCCACGCTGTGTGAGGAAGGATAGCACAGATGCAAGCACTGATGCCAACTATGACAGCAGGTGTGCTGAAGAAAGAGACTATGAATTTGGTCTTCAATAAGATGTGCAAGAATGTCAGGAAGGACTATGGTGGCACAAGTCGGGAGGTCTGGGTGGCACAGTGAGGTGTTTATACAAGAAAAAGAAGAAGAAGAAGGAGAAGAAGGAGAAGAAGGAGAAGGAGAAGGAGAAGGAGGAGGAGGAGAAGAAGAAGAAGAAGGAAGAAGAAGAAGAAAGAAGAAGAAGAAGAAGAAGAAGAAGAAGAAGAAGAAGAAGAAGAAGAAGAAGAAGAAGAAGAAGTTGTTTTAATTGCAGGAGGCTCAGCCAGATGTGCTACTGAATTAATTTTCAGGAGGGTGCAGTGGGAAGTTCAAGAGAGATAAGCTTGTTGGCCTAAAAAAGCCACCTGCGGGATTTGAAGGCACACTTTGAAACAGGGAGGAGAATTGGAAAGTGAGCAAGGTGCAGAGTACCTTGAGGACTGCCTGCAGCATCATCTGGAGGCCCCTCTTGCCTGGGTACTTCCCAGCGATGTTTGCTGCTGACAGGTTGAAGAGGTTGGCTCCCGTTTCCGTGCAGATGGCATGCACCAGCATCTTCTTGCCCACCCCGGCCGGCCCAGCCAGCAGCAGCGATTTCACCTGCGGGGCATTCTTGTGCACCACCGCAGACCCTGGAAAAGGCAGAGGAGGAAGCTCTCAATCCTGCCAAGAAAGCCAGTGACTCTTACGCTAGGATCCCGCAGGCTGTGACTGTGCGGGGAGACCCCTGATGGGTGGGAAGCACCTCTGATTTGTATGTCAGGGCTCCTGGGGTCTCTGTGCTCCCCAATACCATCTTTCCTCCCACTCTCCCCTGTACTGCCCCAAATTTGTAATTCTGAAGAACACTCCTGTAATATTTTGCCTCTAGCTTTTGTTGCTGTGTTGTTTTTTGAGGGGTTTCTCTGCTAGTCAGCTGCACTAAGTTCTCTGAAAGCTGGGGAAGGAATGTGGAGACACAGCAATGAGGCTGGCTGAGAAGGGGTTATTTCTCTGGAATCTTCTTTCCTTGCATTTAGCTTGAGTCTTCTGAGATAAAGAGGTAAGACCAAGGTCCAGGGGGCAGAAAGCCTGGACTTCTTTCTCCAGAACCCTGGACTTCTTTCTCCAGAACCCTGGTTCCTGGTTGTCATGAGCAACCAAGAGTCTGGCACTTGGAATTAAGTGACCGAATTATTAGTCACTCAGAGGCCTGGCCTTGGGGCCTCAACCACCCAGTCCATCTCCTTAGCTGGGTATTGTCCACCACAGAGGACACAGGCAGAGCTCAAATTGGGCACTAAGTAATTACGTATAATTATAAAGTGAATGGAATTCAATCCCGGACGGTGTGGTGATTAAACATTTGCTACTTTGTTAGTTTGCTTTCAGCCCAACTTCTGGGCTCTTTTGGCTCAACTATTACTATGTCAATATAATTATTATCGTACTTTTCTTTTTTTAGTAAAATTGAAAAGGTACAGGAAATTATGTGACAGATGGAAACATAATTTTCACAGCTATTCACATAAAACAGGTTTGAGCAAGCTCTCTTCAGAGTGACATTCAATAAGGCTGCTTTGTTTGTGGTTAGTGAAGGGCAGAGCAATATAGTAAGATGAAGGAGGTACTGTTTCCAGTGGTAAGAGAAAGATGGCACCTGTTCCTTGTCCATTCAATACCTGGAGAAGCAAGGTTGCTCTGGGTGTGGCCCTGGCTGGGGGCTTTGTGTGCAAGTGGCATAGGCTGGGGTTCAAAGGTGGGAAAGTCTCAGGATTTGCTCTGCTCTTGCTTGGTCAAGGGTTCTTGGCCAGGAGTGGAGCTGAGCCCTGAGCAGATGTACCTACAATGGGAGGCAAGTGGCACTCGGATCCAGGAGACCCACAGAGGTCAGAGAAGCAGCTAGGCCCATCTGAGGCGATCTGGCTGGACTCAGGGAGAAGGGGACCTCTGTGCTGGCCCCTGGAGAATGGGAGTGAAGAGGTGTTTGAGAAGGTTCCAGTGTGGGCCACAATGACGCAGTGCGCTAGTCCTGGGGGAGCGCTGGGCAATTCTGATTGGTGAGGTGGCAGGGAACAGACAGAAAGGAGACAGGAGAGAGGGTAGTACCAGTTGTCACATTCCCTGAAAGGTGATGGGGAATTGCAAGCTTGCCAGGAGTGCAGGTAGAGGCCAGGGGCTGGAAGAAGGGCTGGGAAAGAACTGAAGGAGGAGAGAACGGGGTTGAGAATGGAACCTGGGGGCATGGCAGCAGGAGATCCAGGAGAAGGTGTGCCAGACACACAGGGATATCCCCTTCTGGAGGAGGAGTCACCCAGATGGCTCGGAGGTGGAGGGTGGTCCAAGGAAGGCCTCTGTACCTTGGGCCTAGTTAACCCAGGGAGGCTGAAGGCTACAGGAAGGCCTAGGAGTCAGCCAGACTCCCTGGCCTCGCTGTCTGCAGCTCTTCCTGCTTCTGTCGTAGGGGGAGTCAAAGGACACAGGACACTTCCAGCTTTTAGCATAAGCCCTTTCCAACTTTTAGAAGTCCTTAGTCTAGTTTCTCCTCTTCCTCCCTCTCAACATCTTGAAGATACTAATTCATCTGTGAGAGCTGCAAGGCTTTGCTGGGGAGGGGGACCACGGGCGTGAGTCTCCTTGTGACGATGATGCTGTTTCTCCTCCGGGCCTTTTCTCTCTCATCTTCTGGACCTGATCAGATGCATTCTGCAATTTTCTCTTACCTTCCGAGGTAAGACCTGGTTCTGAGAGCCCAGGATGGGACTGCATTTCCTGCCCAAGTGTGCAAAGAGGCCAATGTGGTCCTCTGCCAATGGTCGGGTTTGTTAATCTGGTCAGTGGCCACCACTGAGGACCCCTGAATAACCAGAGTAAAAAAAGTCACACCCCTTTTTGGAACAGAATATCATCTTACAGGTGTCATGATGATGAGAGCTGTCAGGTCCCCAGGCTGGTCTGGCTTGAGCTGGAGATAGCACATACGTGGAATTTAATTGGCACCCCTGAAGGCTAAGCTGTGTTCGAAGTTCACCTGCCCAACTTCTTTATGCATTCCAGACACATGACACAAACTTCTCATGAGAACAAGCACCCAGCTGGCTCTGTAGCCAGGAGGGCTCAGCAGCCACTGGGGACAGACACCAGAGTCCTCAATGACAGGGAGGGCCCAGGTGGAAGCTCTCAGAGCCAGCCAGAAACTTCCTTGGACCGGAAAGTTGAGAATGTGACAGACACCACTCCCTTGTGTATTAAGAGTTCCCTGTAAAACGCTAGCTCTGGGTACTTTCTGCCTTCCATTATGCCGTGATGAGGTGTGAGGTCTGATGTGTTTATTTTATTCGCAGGGATCCCGTGAATGTTCCATATTTATTTTGTTGTCCCTAAATGTGAGCTGCTTATTTAGATTACATGAAATATAATATGATTCTTAAACACTTATGTTGCCCCAAGTTCCATTGCTACTTCTGATGGCCAGTGGGTCTGTATTCTTAAGTCAAAGTGGAGCAGAGTTGTAAGTGCTCCGAGGACTCCCATCTCATTTCAGATCAACACACCAGTGATCTCTACCAGCTGTGCAGCACTGGCTGGAGGGCTGCCCTGCCCTGGGGGCTCCAGTCATGGTCATGTGGGCTCTGATGCCTGGTCTGAGGTCTTTCCTTCTTTGTTCAGCAGAGAAGCCATGATTGAGCTTCATTTAGTGATGACAGTGGATTTCAGGGGACACTGGAAGAGCCTCAAAGTGAGCCTTGGGACCTATGAAAGATGCTTTTACCCACTGTGGACAGGCCACCTCTGTTTAGAACCCACTTAGAGAAGCCAGTGTGTGAAAGGCATGGGGTGCCCTAGTTCTTACTCTCAGTTGATTAATTTTAGTTTGGGTGCTGGCTTTGGGCACTGTCTCTCCAGGTGATCTCCTGTAAGTCCTCCACCCATACCCAAGGAGGGCACAGAGTGCTCTCCCAGAGGTGCCTTCTATGCTGGGGATGCACTGTAGGAGTGAGACGAGGCTTGCTCAGGGTTCCTTGTAGGAAAAGTTAAATTGGAAAGCCCTTTGGGTGACAAACAGAAAGTGCTGTCAAAGCCAGCGGGTGGTGCCACCCTGCTTGTGGAAAAGGTACACCAGTCCTTACCCAAAGGCAGGATTCCGTACAGAGTGATGAGCTGTCTGACATCCAGGAGGGAAGGCATGGGTTCTATGGCTACCTGACGGAGGGTGGTCCCCAGGTAGCTGTACTCACCTGGGGAAGAATGAAACTGAGGATGAGTGAACAGGAAGCTGTGCCAGTGTGAGTGGCAAAATGGTCACAGAATATAAATTAACCATTTCAAAGCAACTATAATCGGAGTTTGGAGAACGCATCTTTTCTCAAACATTTCAAGGAAACCACCTGGGCACGAGAGTGTGGTGTACTAGTTGTGGTAAATTACAAATTATGGGGACTATTATGCTAACCTAATATTAAAAAAAATAACATTTCACATATTTGGGTTATGTGAAATGAGATAGCTAAGTTTTGCAATGAGAGGCATAAAAAGACAGCTAAGTTATTGTGGGTTTGCTTTATTTATATCCTAAGAGATTACAGACATATATATCATTTGCACAAACTCCACAAATAAATTATTGAAGACTCATATGGAACTTGCATTACAGCATTATAAATCTGAATCTGAAGTGGAGTCAAGTGAAAGGAAAGGTATGAGTCTAATTTAGGATAAACAGAAACATCTCCTTTTGAGGGTAATATTCATTTACCTTTTCATCATTCGTAAAGGGTTACCACAGGAATAATGTAGAAATAAATCTCCACAGGTTTAATTAGAAGATATCAAAGGGCTTAATTGTAACTAGCCATAAATCCAAAGTGTTATTTTCTAACTAATTTAGATAAGGTCACCAAGAAAATTAGTTTGGCTGTCACCGTTTGTCATGAGGATGGACTTTTATACGCTTGTATGATTCTCATGATTTGTATCTGATTCTGGAGTAGAAACAGGCATTGAATGAATCACAGTCTTGCTTTTTTCCTGTAGCAAGTACTGATCTCACAAAGCTTCTTCATATTGTGCACGTGTGACAAACACGATATGCACATTCACGTGTATATGAAACACTGAGGTTACAAAAGCTTATAGCATTTTCAAATGCTAGGAAAATTAGAGTTAAAATTCAGAGAACAGTCCCTGTCTTCTTGTGGAGGGCAGCCTTCCAAATCTCCAGCATTAAAAAAAAAAAAAGTCCTTGCAAGGACAATGACATTGGTTGGGGGCATGAGTGATAATGAAGGTTTGCATTACAGCTTCAGATACCCATGCTTTTTAATGAGTAGGTAATAAATACCAGCGTGGTTAATCTAGCCTCCACCAGAACAGAAAGAGACCCTGTAGCAATGGTTCACTCCAGCCCTTATTGCCAGTAATGTGACATTGGAGGAAATGTGAAAGTGACCTCAATTTTCCTGTTTATATAAATCCATATTGATATCCAGACAGACCATATTTTCTAGAACCTGACAGATTTTATTTAAACAAATCATATTAAATTGAATTAGTGGGTGTTGGTTCTATATAAGGATCCAACTAGCCTGGGCTATTTGTCAAGTTACCAGGCACAGTCTGAAAGCTCATCACTGTGGCCCAGTCTGGAGCCATAATCCCTCTCATCCAATCATTCATAGTTCAGAAAGTTCTGGATTTCCTGCACAGACAGACACCAGATCTTCCATAAGGGAGGGGAGAAGAAAACAGCAGGAAGAGTATTTGAGAGGGAGGCATGAAAAAGTGTTAAGGAACACACAGCAGTGGAAAGAAAAGGAACAGGAGTGTGTCCTGGGTTGAACTGTCTCCTTACGAGCTGTATGTTGAAATCTTTATCCCCAGCGTCTCAGCATGTGACTTTATTTGGAAATAGGATCATTGCAGATGTATTAAGATGAGATCACTGGTGTGGGTCCTCAATCCAATAGGATTTTCCTTCTTAAAAAAGGGACATTGCACACAGAGAAAGACATGCACAAGGCAGCGCACCATGTATGGAGGAAGGCAGAGAGGGGGTGAAGCTTCTGTCTACCCAGGAACACAGACTGCCAGCAACCACGAGGAGCAGGGGAGGGGCCTGGAGCAGCTTCTCCTCCCAGCCTCAGAAGAAACCCAACCATCCACACCTTGATCTTGGATTTCTGGCTTCCAGAACCTTGAGATAATCAATTTCTGTTGCCTAAGCTGCTGGGTTTTTTTGTTTGCTACAGCAGGCCTACCTCACTGATACAGAGTGAGCAATTGAGGAGAATCAGAACAGAAGGGAGGATTGAGAAGCAATGAGAAAGAAAAAGAATCTGTGAAATAAAAATGGAATCAGCTTGTTCTCTTTCCATTCTACCCAACACAGCATTAAGAGAAGAATGAAGAGAGGAGCAATCTATTAAAAACTGCTAGCTTCTTAAAGAACCTCTCCAAAGACTCGAGCAAGAGAGAGAGAACAGCCCACCCACCGCTCTGTGAAGGCAGATGGGCTCCCTGGTCAGGGGGCCTGCCATAGGTGCATCCAGGATGGTTGCCCCCCCCATCTCCCACCATGCACAGTGAGGACTGCACATGGTGCTCTCTTCTACTAACAAGATTGATGACCCAGGGCTACAGGGTTCAAGTCCAGATGGGTTGCACAAAGTTTCCTGGCACAGGCTCCCCAGCTTCCAGAGACAGCATAAGTGTCTCAGCAACTCAGTAGAGAGATTACTTTAGGTGAACTTTCTGTTGTGACAGCTCTGCCAAGATTGTGCATGTGCACAGGCTGGCACATTCCAAAGCTTCTGACATTTTTCTATGCGTACATACAACTGTGGTTTCTGGGATTGGAGTTTTGGGAGCTTAAAGCTTGGTAAGCACAAGTTGAAAGTGGCAGATACAAACTGGGCTTGGGTCCATTTTCGAACCATTACAGCAGGTACTGAGCCCTAGGTATGCAGGATCACTAATGGGGACACCGATTCATGCTTGTTCTCCTGGGCTTCCCTTCAAGCAGGTAGGCAGCCCACTCTGCTCTGTGCTGCTGTGATGTGGACAGGAGGGAGGCACACAGAGGTGCCCACAGCCCTTCTTCATGGCCTCACCTGAGCTCACGAAGTCTGGGTGACAATACCAGCAGGGTGACAGTAGGAGCTACAGCTGATGGCTGGGCCAAGGATGCTCTGAAGCAACTCATTCAGCATGCACAGCCCTTGAATGAGCCAGTTGCTCTCATTACCCTATCCTAGAGTAGTGGAAACTAAGGCACTGAAAGATTCGGAGAAAAACAGGCATCCTGGAGGGAGGGTGAAGTGGGGGAGGGGAGACTCTTCTAGCTTAATCAGTGTCCTGGGAACTGGAGACCTTGCTGATTTCGAGGGGTGATGAGGGGAATCCTAAGGAGGACTGTGTTTGAATAACTCTGGCACTTTTGGGGTCGCAAAGCCAATTTGATACAACTTATTTCTTGCATACCTGAGATTGGAACAGAAGTCTGTTATGGGGCACAGGACCAGGGCATGGAGCTGGGTGACTGTGGAGGAGTAGGGCAAGGAGCAGGGTGGGTGGGAGGGGAGGTGAGGGCTGGGACTGGGGTGGGATTTGACATCCTAAGCTCTGCACCATAGGCTTAGCATCTTCTGGCCCCATTTTCCTTCTCTTCAAGGCCACCTGCTCTGATGTGACACAGATGATGTTGAGTGGTGTTAAGAGGAGCAGGGGACTGCAAATCATAAGACTAGGGTCCTCTCCGTGCTGAGCCAGTGAGGCTGGATCTGCATGGTGTGTGTTTGGCCTGCTGGACCGTCCAGGGTGTGGAGCCCGCTCTGTGACTGAGGCCCCTGTTCTTTCTCATCTGGAGGGAGGTTGGGGGACAAAGGCCACACCACCTGCTCTCTTGTCTTCCCAGAGGGAAAATAGGGGTCTGAGTACACAGCCTTTGCAGGATGTGGTTGACTGAGGCTCACCCTGGCCACATCTCTGTGCAAAAGTATTAGGGAAACCAAGAAAATAAAATCAAAATCAGGGAAGGTGAGGGCCAGGCAGCCTGCTACGTCCTCCATGCTATGTCCTCCTGTCATCTTGGCTGAGTGTTGAGAAGGAGCCCTTCCCAGCGGGCGGAGTGTTTAAGACCCCCCAGCACCTTCTTGATCCCAGAACTATGCACTGTCTGGCAGGTGAAGGACGACTATAGGCCCAGTGTGGACTGTTCCAAAATCAGAAATGGGTCAGGGGAGTCAGTGATCAATAATCAAAGGACTGACTAGATTTCCACACCCCCTTCCAGCTGTCTGGATGGAAGACAAGGAAACAGGCAGGGCCTTGGAGAAGATTCTGGGGTCAAAAGCAAGCAAATCAAGACAAACTCCCCAAACAAATAACAGTTGGGCAAGGCTTGTCCTGTGAACATAGGCTTCCCTCTCCCATGGGGGATGGACTTGCAAATTGGCACCTGGGGCTGGAGATCCATGAGACTTGGGCTCAGCCCTGTTGGAAGACAGCAGGATGTGCCTTACTCATGGCGGGGACACACTTGGTGTCTAGTTTGAGGCCTTTTGTGACTTTTGCAAGCACTCAGCGGCATGGGCTGGATTAATGGAGCATTAACATGGTGACGTCCTGATTCTACTGGTTAACTGAAGTGACTTTAGAAAGAAGGACATCACTCATCTACAATTCGGTGACCTGGTGGTAAGGCTCATGCAGGACTTACAGGGCAAATGCTTGATTCTTTTTATTTACTAGTTTTTAAGATAATAAACTGATTTCCAGCTATCCTCTGAAGATGATCAATGAGTTTTATGTCATCGTGAACTTGTGAGGAAAGGCCTTTTAATGCATTCCAACTCATTACTTTTGTTATTCTTAATGTAGCTCAGAATCCCATCTTGGGCCAGAGACTCTGTTCAGTGTCTCTCCTGGTCATCTCTGACAGCTTCACTGTCAACTAACAAGAGAACGTGGTTCAGGATCTTCAAAATGTTTCCTCTCCCTGTCAGAAACTAACCATCTCTACAAGGACCACTGGTTTCTTGAGTGGGAATTGAGGCTTGAAGACCATAATCTGAAAGCCAAGGATTCTCATGGTAAATGGGGGTGTGTGTGTGTGTGTTCATTCTCTGTAGGAATCTTGCACACCCTAGTGACAGTCACCTCACAAAGTTCCTGAAAAATTAACCATCAGTTCTATCAGAGTACCCTCTGAGAAAATGCCTCACAAGTTGCAACTGGAATTTCCAGTTCAAACTTGGGATCCAAGTTCTTGCTTTCTCTGTGTTACCTGTCTGCTCCCTTTCTTCCCTACTGCAACTCTTCGTCTTCAAGGACTCAGGGGAGGAAAGCTCTTCATCATTCCTTACTTGCTTTCTCTCACGTTACACCAGCCTCTCGAAGACTAAACCAGTACCACTTGGGATAATTGCAAATGGCTAAGCTCTTTGTATCAGTTCTTCCTCCCACGTCTTCTCTGGATGCACTGTCAGAGCAGACCACCATTACGCACTCACTTAGCCTCAGGTTGCAGCTGAGCACACACCCAGTGGCTTGACTGGGTCAAGGGCTCTCCAGCCGTTTCTGCTATTGGTAGCTTATTTCTGGTAGTTTCTTTGGGATGGGCTCATGGGTTCTTCTTCATGTAAGAAGTCAATAGTTCGAGTTCTTGCTTGTTTGTACGTTGGTGTCCTGTATGTTTGAGAATAAATTTGTCTGGGTACAAAATCCTCAGATCTTACATAATTTCCTTGAGTATCTTAAACATGGTACTCTACTGACTTCTGGTATAAAATGTTGCTATTGAAAAGTGTGATGGTAATTTAATTTTATTTCTTTTGTAAGTCATATGGTCTTTTTGCATTAGTGAGCAGAATGGGAAAGATAAAAATAAAACAAAAAGAACAACAACAAAAAAGGTATTTTTTAGACTGCCTTGGGTGTTGGTACTCTGAGGGGCAGTGAGATCTTTCATGTGTGTGCCTTTAGTGTCTTTTTAAAGAAAGTCTCATGAATTATGGTTCTGAGTGCTTTTTCTCTTCTTTTGCTTTGGTTTTCTTCTTCAGGGACTCATACTGTCTGTATGTTGGATCCTCGTTGTCTGGCTTCAACATTTTATATTTTCCTTGGGTCCTTTTAATCTTTCTTCATTTCTAGCTGCCTTTTTACTTCTCTTGAAACACTATTTGTTGTTTTTATTCACGCTGTATTTCTTATAATTTAGCTTTTTCTAAGCTGTCTTTCCCTTTATTCATAATATTTCTTGAGTTTTGTCACTTCAATTTCATGTGGCCTTTGACTTTGAACTTTTCCATTGCTCAAGTTACATGAGTCAATGGTCTACACTTCTAGAAGAAGGTGTGGTTTAGGATTGCTTTCCTGATTCCACAGTTTCCTCTTCTGTTGTTTTCATGGTGGTTTGTTTCTGAGAGGTTCTGGCTCTGTTCCTCCTCCTCCCATTTTTTTGTAGTTGTTCTTTCTGTTTTATCTTTATCTTTTCCATTCTGCTTATTATGTAGCTCAGGCTGGCTTCAAATTCTTGATTCTTCTGCCCCACCTCTGGAGTAATCATCCTTTGATTGGAGGAAAATGGAGGCTTCTTACTCTAACAGGGCAAATTGGCCAATGTAAACAGTAGAAAGAATAACAAAGGGACAGATTCTAAGACATTGGATGAAAGTACAAATGGAATCCATGTGTCTACACTGATGCCACCACAACTTGAAATGGCTCCAAACTTCCTAGCAGAAGAATGCTATTTGTTCAGTGTGGAAAGAGTGTTGGGAAGAAGAAATCCCATTTTACCTCCACTATAGTGATAAGGGATGCAGGTGAAAACAACAAATGGACGCCAAATGCTTGCAAGACAGGCTGCGGGGAACCGAGTCTCCAGAGCCCCAAGTGTCATCCATAGATTATTTGACAGTTATAATGGGAAAGAAGGAGCTTTCAGTGGAGAAATCTGGGAACAGCACCTTTGCTACATGATTCAACTTAACATCACCAGATGGAACAAAATGGCCCATGTTCCCCAGTGGGCAGCAACAAGAGGAACACACTATTGCCTGTAGTTTTCCTATTAAAAATGTTTACCCTGAATCAGATAATGAGGAAACCATCAGAGAAATTCAGCTATGGGAAAGTCTGTAAAGCAGCTCATATTCTCCAAAAATGGCAATGGTGGGAAAGTTGAAAAAGGCTGGGAACCTATTTTAGACTCAAAGAATCAGAGGAGCATAAAGACACTCAGTCGTGCCTGTGCCTGATGGGATTTTGGGTTGAGAAAGATCTACAGTGATGAGTGACCTCTGGGGAAACTGAACATCAGATATATATTAGGTAGCAGTGTTTGTGTTAATGTTAGATTTTCTGAGTGTGATTGTCCCCTTGTGGTTATGTAGGACAATGTCCTTGTTCACTGGAGATATTTTCTTCCTGAGAAGCAGACAAAATACCTACAAGTAGGGTGGCAGAATTGTGAGGAATTTTTAGCTGTGTGGTTTTGGATCATAATATTGATTTTAAAGAAATCAACAGAAAAACATTGGTTGAAGACTCTGACCACAACTGTCACTCCTCCGTCCTCCCAAATACTCTGTCCCTACTGGAAAGGTCTCCTGGGAGGAATCCCTCCTGGAGGGGTTGTGTATTGTGGAGGGCTAGGGCCTGCCCCTTAGGGGCCCCTTTCCTATAGGAAGGTAGGACCACTTCATTTCCTAAGTCAGGTTTATGCCAGGAAGCATGGGCCAAGGAATCCTGCTAGCAGGGGAGAGAACTGGACCCATTTTCCTAAGGACCTATTAGTTCACAGCATCCTCTTAGACTATTCAAATCCTTTCAATTTGACACATTCATCAGCAGCCACCATTGGCCAGACTTTGGTTTGGACAAAGACCCAAGTGAAACCTATTTCCAGCTGTCAGACTTCAGAACCCATGGGGCACCACAGACACATGCACGCATTGCTCTCTGTGTACTTTACCAATGTAATCAGACAGGTTGACTTTCTGAGCCTGCACGATTAGGCCTTCTTCCACCAGCTCCTTGTACAGAGACTCGATGGTCCTGGGGACAAAGCAGAATGTCTGTGCCACCAGCACACATGTGGAAACAGCTGTATTTCTGCTAATCAGCACGTATGCAAGGATCTAAAGGCACATCTACTTCTGAGAATGTTTGCATATATGCAAATCATTGGATATTGAAATGTTTCTAGAACTTGGAGAAAAATTAGACTTCCTGAAAACAGTATGTTCACTCAACCATGTATATGTTGGATGTTTCCTGTTAATAAGAATTATATTTTTGGGTGTCTGAGACCAGCAATGACTCCATCAGTTTTCATGATGGCACAAATACGAATTAGAAATTATCCAATACTAGTAACGCAATGGACCTGTAATTACACATTCGGTTAGCATCTGCAAGCCATAGAGGATTAATCCTTTGTGAAATTTATGGTTCCCTTTAACTCAATAGTATAATGGCTTAAAAGAAATATGTTCAAGGAACAAAGGCTTATCCTGCAGATAATTCTTACATAGAAGACAAAACATCTAAAGCTCTGAGTGTATCATTTTTAAGGAGGGAGTAAATTTTTCTGCATTGTTTACACATATCAAAAATTTTCTCAAAGAGGGATTTGGGCATATAGCCAGCACACTGGTAATTTATATCAACTAAAGAAAAATGGAAAAAGTTTCTCACTCAGTGTATACAGTGCCCAGCGATAGTAACTGGCATTTGGCTTACAGGAGTTCCGATTGGTTGAGTTCAAATATTCTTCAGTACACTCCTTTGAGATGTTTTGTCTTTCTTTTTCTTTATTTTTCCATCTTACCTTGTCTTTCTGTAGGCTAGGGATTGGAAAGTAGGTGCAGTTAAATAGTTTTTCGACTGCTGAGCCATTTGAGTGAAGGTAATTAAAGACACCCAAGAATGTCAGTCAGACTCAAGTCGAATACCACAGGAATGGATGCTAACCCCATGCTCCCTCTTTGGTCACCTGCAATTCCATTCCATCAAGCACATTTAAAGCAATATGTCCCACTGAAAATTAAGATAAGTTTAACTGTAGTGGGATTTGGGAGGACAGTGTCTGACCTATGTGAAAGGCAGTACCAACTGTAGTGTTTTAATTTGAACACTTATTTAATGCAAAACATTTAACCTAGGCATAAGATATCAATAAAAATTGAAGATGATCCTCTAAAATAACCAAAATATGTTAGAAAGCACAAACCTGTATTTGGATTTTTTTCCCCTGTGAAATGAACTTTTGTTATGGAATAAAACATCCCCAGCTCTAAATCCACCTTAAAATTATTCTAGAAATGCTGGTGTTTGTGTTATGTTACTCTGATGAGGGAAGCAGAAGTTGTCTTACAGTTTTGTGGCAGAGCTAACTCGAGTCTAGACACACAGGGTCTTAATATCAGATTAAAAAACCTTTCAGGAGTGAGATGCGGCTATGTCTGCCTCTCTGGCCTCTGACCATTGCACTAGAGAACTGCTTCCTGCTCGCTTATGACAGCTCAACTGCGAGGAAGCATGTCAGGAGTTCATCCAGTGTCCAGCAGTCATGACCCAGGAGCCACACGTGTGTGCTCTGTACTGTCACCAGCATTTTATTCAGGAAAGTGATACTTTAAATGCAAGACATTTAAATTTAAAGTGATACTTTAAATTTAAGACAATGTGAATGAATGTATTTTCACTTAGTTGATTCCACTTAGCCTATTTTTTTTTTTTTGGCAGTACTGGGGTTTGAACTCAGGGCTTTGCTTGCTAGGTAGGGGTTTTTACCACCCCAGACCTTTTATGCTTTAGTTGTTTTTCTAATATGGTCTTTCTTTGGCTGGGACCCGGGACCCTGATATTCCTACATATGCCTTCCATGTAGCTGGGATGACAGATGTGTGCCACCACACCTGGCTTGTTAGTTGAGATGTGTGGGGTCTCAATAACTTTTTGCCCAGGACAGCCTTAAGCTACAATCCTCCCAAGTAGCTGGGATTATAGGCATGTGTCACCACGCCCTGCTCTCGATTTGCAATTACTTCACTGTTTGGGGACAAATGTAAAAACAAGGGAGGAAAGAGGCCTTTAAAAGCTACCTGTGACACTATGTGGGATGGGACTAGGATGTTCTCTGCAGCCAGGGGCTGCTCCCAGAGCGCATCAATGCTCATGCTTGTCTAGCATCTGTCTATAAGGGCACTGGAGTCTTGAGATGCAGCCCAGGTCCACCTTAGGCAGCAGGCAGCCATGGCGTCTGACCCTGACCTCTTGTCCAAACAATAGAATCTCAAACACAGGATCCCTGTGGCCCTCCTGCTCACCCTGACAGGTATCCTGTGTGATCCAAGGCTTTGCCCTTCTGCTATTCTTCCAGGGTTACCAGGCATGTGCCAGCTCCGGGGTGCTTTGGCCTCATTGGAGGTGCCACAGATGGGGCCTCTAGAGCTCTGCCTCCTCTCCCCACCAGAGGTCAAGGTGGGCGTCCTCTCCCAGGGATCTCTCTCAAGCAGAGTTTGGGAAGAGTAGCACTTGGGCCCAATGGAGGACTGGGAGCATCCCAAACAGAGAAGAAGTCACATGTGTTACTGGTGAGCAAACCCCACGGCAAGAAAGGGGTTATGCTCAAAATGGCATTTATTAGGGCTTTAAATTAAATTCTTTTATTGGGGGAGGGAGAATGATGGAGGGGGTGAATTCAACTGTGATATATTGTAAGAACTTTTGTAAATGTCACAGAGTACTCCCAGTACAACTATAATAAAAAAATTCCTTTCTAATGTCTGAAAACCCCTGTACTATTTATTTTCAACATTACAGCACTCAGGGCCATTTGAGCTAAAAAGAATGGGGTATTTAAAGCCACCTGCTAGGATTGAAGTTGGGCCAATGAACTCGAGGAATAGAAATGTCCCTTTAAAAACTCCAACTCACCCTCCACACACACTTCATCAACAGCAGGAGGGAGTGCAGAGAGCAGCCAGGGGCCTGAGGGAAGTGAGCCTCTGCTCTGCCTGGAAGGACCCTGGCCTTTGTCCTGAAGTTTCATTGGGATGTTATTTTCCAAACAATTATTTTCTGATGGCACTGGGGTTTGAACTCAGGGCCTCATGCTTGCTAGGTAGGCGCTCTTACTGCTTGAGCCACTCCACTAAGCCTGAATAATTTTTAATGAATACTTCCCTGAATGAATTTTAAAACAAAAAAGTTGTAGGGATGCAGATGTGAGGGCCCACATGTTGGGCTCTGGCCTGTCCTCTGGCCATAAACCCATGTAGGGTTTATTTGCACAGGGCTGCGGAGTGGCCAAGCACTGGTCCACGTGGGTGCCACCACTCTGTCAAGGATGGAGGGGTCCCAAGTGGTATAGCAGAGATGGGTGTCTTGCCTAAGCCCTGGCAAGGATTTGAGCTGCTGTTTGGGGTTTCCTGTTGTCCTCTGTCTTCTCTGCTCTCTGCCCACCATGCGCCTCACAACAGAGCAAGGCAGTTCCTTACCTGTCAGCTAACAGGTCTTTTTCCTTCTTCCCCATTTTTCCTCTTTTGCCTTGCTTTCTTTTCACTTGCTGAGAGAAATGGAAATAAGCAACAATTTAGTAAAAGCATGCGAGCGAATTAGCACTGAGAATTAGCATAGTGAAGTGTGTTTCAGGGAGTGAGCACTGAAAAGCTGCTTGTGCTGCATTGGACATGGCTGCAATGGTTTCATGAGCAGAAGGACTGGCCTGGAAATCCCAGCTGCTTCCGTGTGAGTGGTGGGGTCTCCACTGTGGGTCCTGGACAGGGCCACACTCCAGACAGGCCCTGGGCATCCTGGGTCTTTTTCTGGGCTCTAGCACAGGTGAAAGTACCAGGCACACAAGGAGAAAATCAACGTTGTGCTTGTCCTTGGTACCTGCCCTGGACTGGTGTTTGTGCCCTCTTCCCATATTCACACGTGGACGACTCACCCCTGAAGTGATGGTGTTAGGAGGTGAGGCCTTCGGAAGGATGGAGCCTCATGGATGGGATTAGTGCCTTATAAAGAGAATGAGGGGACTTCATCCTTTATACCATGTAAAAACGCAGAGGAGAGGGACCATCTCCAAAGCAGACAGCAGCCCTCACTAGACACTGAGTCTGCAGACACATTGATCTTGGACCTCTAAGCTTCCATCCAATGTAATAAATTTCTACTGGTTATAAATTTCCATCTAAGCACTTTGCTATAACACCACAAATGGAATAAGGCAGTCCCCACCACCTCTCCCTTATTCACTGCCCCTGCTTGTAAATGGACCCATACCACAGAACATTGGGTCTGGCTTCTTCCAAACAACCGTATAATTGCAAGATTCATTTATACCTTGCACACAGCTATGCGTCATTCATGATTTTCAGTTATTTAAAGACTATTTTTTTCTTTTGACATACTTGTAGATTCATGGACAGTTTAAAAAAATAATATATAGGGTTCCTGTGTACTTTGCAGGTTTCAATAGAAAATATTGCAAACAATAGAGCAGAACTGTCTTACAAGATCGCAGCTAGGACACTGATGTGGACGCTGTCAAATGCAGAATAACACATCAGTACAAGGTGCCTTCATGGTCCCTCATGGTGCCTTCACAGCCACCATCTTCTCTTCTAAGACCCCCATCCTTAGCCCTCAGAAATCATTCATCTGTTTTCCATCTCTCTAATTCTGTCCTTTCAAGATGGTGATCTAAATGATAAAAGAATGTGTGACCCTTTGGATTGTCTTTTCTCTGTCATTCAGTGTTCAGAAATTCACCCACGGGGTATAGCAATGGTTCTGTGCTGTTTCCAGTTTGAGTTATTTCAAATTATGTAGGTGGTTATAAACGTGTGTGTGTGTGTGAAGGGGAGAAGATAATGAGAGAGAGAGAGAGAGAGAGAGAGAGATATTTGGCCTTGAGGTATTGCCCTATCCCCCTCTCTGCTGGAGAGTGGCTCTAAATTACAGCCTTGGCCTGATGAAGCTGCAGGGGAGGTGGTCTTGGGTGTTTACATCATGTCTTTATGAGATTTTCTTTATTCTGGTGAACAGTCTGAGGCCTGACTGTTTAATCTTTCACCACATGTCTCTCTTAATGGGAACTTGTGTACACTGGCAGCTGACCTTGTGGCTCCTGTCTGATCTGGGTCCATTTTGTTCCTCCAACACCACTACCCTCTAGGAGAAGAGAGTTAGATTTGGGTGTGTTGGTCAGGGGTGTTGGTCAGGTAAGACACCAGGGAGACAGCTCAACAAAACACATGAAATAACAGGAGCAGGTCTATGACACAGATCCCAGACAGGAGGCAGCACCAGCCCTGGCAGCACCAATGGGAAGGGGGAGCTGTCTGGGACACATGTGTCAACCAGGAAGTAGAAGACGGAGGGCTTCACTATGGCAGGGTTTACCTTAGCAGTCCTCTGGGGGAGTTCTAGTTGGAAGGCTCAGTTTCATGGAGTCATGCAGTGGCTAAAAGTTTATCTCTGTGACATATTTGCACAGTCCATGTGGAGCGGAGAGGTCAGTGGGCTGAAACGGGAAAGTACCCAGCTGTCCCACAGGGAGGTGGTCATCAGGTGACTGTGTATGGCAGATACCTGCCCAGATCACTGTGAGGAGCTGAGAGGAGGTGGGGGTTGGCGACTGTGTCACAGTGACAGAGCCCTGCAGATGCTGAGGCAGAATGAGGTTCTAAGAACTCACTACCACCAACTAAGTCTTCATTTCAGAGGCGAGGGCACATGAGGGCAATGGCTGGGTTGTATGCAAGTTGCATACTCTGTCACTCAGAGTGGCTGTGCCATTTTACACCTATGTCAACATTGTGCAGGAGCTGTCACCATAGTCAGCTACCCTTGCACCCATCACCAATCACGGTGGCTCCAATGCCACAATGCCCTCATGGTCCTGATGCTTGTTAGAGTTGGATTTCTGAGCTGTGTTCTGGAAGCTGGCTCTTTGTCAGATAGGTGGTTCCTAGATATTTCCTCCCAGTCTAGTCCGGAGCTGGTCTTTTTTATCCTCTTAGCTGAGTCTTTCAGCAAAGTTTTTTAATTTTGATGAAGTCCAATATTTCGTTTTAAAAATTGTGCTCTGGTATTAATTCTAGGAACTCCTTGTATAGTCTTAGATCTCAAAATTTTCCCTAAAAGTTTTATAGTTTTACATTTAAGTCTGTAGAGTTGATTTTGTGTAATGTGTGAGATTCAGGTCAATGTTCTTGGTTTTTGTTTTTTTTGTTTTTTGGCTGATGTCCAATTGTTCCATCATCATTTATTCAAAAAGGTATGTTTCCTCTCTTGAGAGCTGCTTTTGCACTTCGTGTGGGCCTGCTTCTGGGTTTTTCTTCCTATACTATCTATCTATCTATCTATCTATCTATCTATCTATCTATCTATCTATCATCTATCATCTATCTATCTATCATCTGTCTATCTATCTACTTACTGAGAGCACATAAGTCTTGATTACTGTAGCTATGCTGTGTTCAGGTAAATTCCTTCTAATTTTGTGGGTGTGTTTATCATGAAATAATGTTGAATTCTGTCAAATACTTTTTCTGAGTCTCTTGAAGTGATATAGAACACCAGCACAACCCATCATAGCAGGGAAGCTGTGGACTTTGCTTCTGTGCTAGTAGCATGGTTTATCACGTTGGTCAATTTCATGGGTTTGAACCATCCTTGCATTGCAGTAATCTTTCACGTGCTGTCAAATTCAGTTTGTTAATACTTCGTTGAGAATATTTACATACAGGGATATTGGCATATAGTTTTCTTTTATTGTGGTGTCTTTTTAATTTTAACTAAAAAAATTTTGGCAGTACAGTAAGCCTGTCTTATTCTCAGATTTATCACACATGATTTTGACTAACATGGTAAAAAAAAATTCCCATGTGCACATTGCAAAGCTCAATTGATGTGGAGAAGCTCTCAGCTAGACCCATGTTACTGTCAGCTGGGCTTTTTTTTATTCATTTATTCACATGTGCATACATTGTTTGGGTCATTTCTCCCCCTGCCCCCTGCTCCCCCCTCTCCTCCCCACCCCCCCTCTCTTCCAGGCAGAACCTGTTCTGCCCTTATCTCTAATTGTGTTGAAGAGAAGACATAAGCAATAATAAGAAAGACAAAGCGTTTTTGCTAGTTGAGTTAAGGGTAGTTGTACAGAGAGATTCCTAGCATTGCTTCCATGTACAAATTTGTAACATCCCAAGCTGATTCCTCTCTAACTGACCTTTTCACTAGTTCCTGATCCCCTTCTCATATTGACCTCTGTTGCTTTAAGGTTTCTGTATTAGTTTCTCTGCAGTGGGGATATCAAATACTTTCATGTTTTGTTTCTTACCTATCCCCATACCTCCCATATGTGCTCTCCCCTTGTCATGTGACCCAAGTCCAACAACATTGCTGCATTTGCCCTAGATCTAAATCCACATATGAGGGAGAACACATGATTTTTGATTTTCTGAGCCTGGCTAACCTTGCTCAGAATGATATTCTCTAGTTCCATCCATTTACTTGAGAATGACAAGATTTTATTCTTCTTCATGGCTGAGTAAAACTCCATTGTGTATAAGTACCACATTTTCTTAATCCATTTATCAGTAGTGGGGCATCTTGGTTGTTTCCATAACTTGGCTATTGTGAATAGTGCCGCAATAAACATGGGTGTGCAGGTGCCTCTGGAGTAACCTGTGTCACAGTCTTTTGGGTATATCCCCAAGAGTGGTATTGCTGGATCATATGGTAGATCTATGTTTAGATTTTTAAGAAGCCTCCAAATTTTTTTCCAGAGTGGTTGCACAAGCTTGCATTCCCACCAGCAGTGTACCAGAGTTCCTTTTTCCCCACATCCTTGCCAACACCTGTTGTTAGTGGTGTTTTTGATGATGGCTATTTTAACAGGGGTGAGGTGGAATCTTAGTGTGGTTTTGATTTGGATTTCCTTTATGGCCAGACATGGTGAGCATTTTTTCATGTGTTTTTTGACCATTTGAATTTCTTCTTTTGAGAAAGTTCTGTTTAGTTCAGTTGCCCATTTCTTTATTGGTTCATTGATTTGGGGAGAGTTTAGTTTTTTAAGTTCCCTGTATATTCAGGTTATCAGTTCTTTGTCTGATGTGTAGCTGGCAAATATTTTCTCCCACTCTGTGGGTGTTCTCTTCAGTTTAGAGACCATTCCTTTTGTTGTGCAGAAGCTTTTTAGTTTAATGAAGTCCCATTTGTCCATTCTTTCCCTTAGTTGCTGGACTGCTGGGGTTCTATTGAGGAAGTCCTTGCTTATACCTATTAGTTCCAGAGTGTTTCCTGTACTAACTTCAGAGTTTCGGGTTTGATATTAAGGTCCTTGACCCATTTTGAGTTGATACTAGTACAGGGTGATAGACATGGATCTAGTTTCAGTTTTTGCAGACAGAAAACCACTTTTCCCAACAACATTTGTTGAAGAGGCTGTCTTTTCTCCATTATATATTTTTAGTGCCTTTGTCAAAAATAAGGTGGGCATAGTTGTGTGGCTTCATATCTGGGTTCTCTGTTCTGTTCCACTGGTCTTCATGTCTGTTT